GCTACTTGCAGGAAACGAGAGAATCAGCTGTGACTTTCTCACCCAAGCATCGTCATAATCCAAGCCAGAAGTGCGCTCGCCGCGACGGGTCGATGTCGATGTGAAAGTTGGTGGCTGGAAAGCCCGGCGAAGAGATGACCTGGGAGTGCAAAGGCTAAAAAACAAAACAAACGGCTTCACACTGAAATTGCTCTGTGTTGGATGTTTGTTTTCGGTGCTGTGTTTCTTCTCCCTGGAACCTTTTCGGGTTGAGCTCGATTGAGGCCTTGGATCCTTTTTGAAGGTGCCGCATCCGTCTGGAGGGCTTTAGCCACCAAAACTTGGGATCAGGGCCCCTCCAGCAACAAGAATACGTCTTTGCCCAAATCCCAGTTCTGCAGCCCTTCCGAAAACCGCCCCTGGAAACCAAAGGGCCAAGTTCGAGGGTCCTTCACCCCAAACCCATCGGTGAGATGCGTTCGGGAGCCCGTGGCTTTGGCAAACTCCACCGCATGCCGCCAACTCGGAGTTTGCGAGCCCCGATATCAGGCCTTGCCTAGGTCCAACAGTGTCTTACAATCCTTTGGTCCTGCAAATGGATTGATCTCCCGCAAAGCTTCACCCGGCACCCCGGCGCCCAGGAGAAAGTCGTAGATGGGCCGCAGCGTGCATCGCCGGAAGTTGAAGTCCTCAGCTTCAGCTTGAGTTTCTCCACTGGGAGAAAATCGGAGAAAGCTGCCCCACTTTGGTCAATTGAACTCATGGCTCGGTGGGTCCGGAGGCTTTCCCTGTGAAGCTCGAGGCGGATCTTTTGGATTTCCGGGGGGAGGAAACCACGGCGACCGTGGAGCGCCAAAAAGCAAAACTGCACAAGCTACTGGGCACTCAGAAACCCTCACCTGAATTGATCAAATGGCATGCAGGTTGATGAGTGGTTTCCTTCCTTGAAAGCACATGCACTTGGAGTCATCTGAGTGGGATCTGTCTCGGACCCCAAGTGCTGACCGTTGTACAGCGGGAGTATCTCTGCATTTCAGCCCAGAAGGAACAAGCAAACGTGAGCCCATAAAGCAGACATTTTACCAAGTGCATTTCACAACCACATCTAAACGTTGAGGTCCATGTTTGTTGGTGAAGTTGTTTGCCTTGTTCGGAAGTGATTCTGATAGGTGTAGCTGCGCGTGCAGGGAGACGTGTGAGAGGAAAACGCTCTCAGCATGCGGTTATTTACGTGCCTTATTCTCCGGTGACCAACGCAGCATCGTATTGTTTAGCTCCATGGAGCAAGATTTTAAAGCAGCCAGCAAAACATCTGGGCTGCAATCTGTTTGCACTTGAGTTTGTCCGACCCTGAACTTTTGGGTGCCTGACCCGCCTGCAGTTTGTTCAAAGCAGGCCGAGAGCAACCAACCCATTCATTTGGACATTCCCCTGTGTTTTAGCTTCTCACATCGGAGCCGACAGTCCCTGAAAAGCGGTTGCTGTCACAAAAGGAAAACATAACTGCAGCTGTGGCTTGCGACCAAGACTCATTATGGCCGCAGTCGCATGTGTGGAAGTGGCTCAATTCCTGCAACATCAGCCGAAGGCAGCTCGCAAGCTGAAATGTGGAAGGATCCAAAAGCAACTGGGCGCAGGCATGGCGCTTTGTTCTTGCCGTGGCGCAGTGTGTGTTTCCAAGCTGGCCGACAAACTGGCTCAGTGTGAGTTTCCAAGCTGGCCGAAGAACCTTCTGCGCATGTCGGATATCTCTCGCTGCGACGCGCGTGTCGGATCACTAGCCCCATGCGAAAATTATTCGTACGACGACGGGGACCACGCGTGTCGGATCGCTCTCGCTGCAGTGTGCGTGTCGGATCACTCTCGCTGTGGCGCTGCGCGAGCTTTCTACGTAGCCGACAAGCCCTCTGCCGGGACGGTACGTGTCGGATCGCTCTCCCTACGGCGTGCGTGGCGAGTGCTCTGCGAGGACGGTTCGTGTCGGATCGCTCTTGCTGCGGCGCGCGTGTCGGATCGCTCTCGCTGTGGCGTGCGTGTCGGATCACTCGCGCTGTGGCGCGGCGCGAAGTTTTTACGTAGCCGGCAAGCCCTCTGCGAGGACGGTGCGTGTGCCTTGCCGCACAGCACATGTCAACACAGCCTTGCTGCACAGCGCATCTCAACACAGCTTTGCTTCACAGAGCATCTCAACACAGCTTTGCTTCACAGCACATCTCAGCATAGCCTCTGCACGGTGCATCTCAACATAGCCTTGCTGTATGCCGCGTCTCAGCACAGCCTTGCTTCACAGCGCGACTCAACGTAGCCCTTGCTGCGCGGCTCTGCTTGGGGGCATGATTGGGCTCCTTCTGTTTGATAAACGCTTTTGGGACAATCGGGTTCTAGTTCATGCGTTGTTTTTTCTGCAACTTCCATCGTTGTTGTGAGTTGTCTGGCTATATGGAAAAAGCCAACCACAGGTCCATGGGGAATAGTGCAAACATAGGCCGAGGGCAACTTGTCAATCAATGTACGTGTCAGAGTAAATGTCTGATGATCCTTTGTTCCCTGCTTAAGCATGTGTGACCTTATGTCGCACGGCCCCAGCAAGATCTACCTGTGTAGCTGGCCGCAGGTTCCATCCCAAAGTCAAACAAGAGCCTAATAGCCAGCCACCAATTCAGAACGAGCTACTCATTCCCTTGACCACTTAGACACAGTTTTCCCGGTTCAGCATGTCCACCACAAGCCCGTACTTGACACGGGGGGGGTCGCCTCATGAGTCTTCCGTGCCTTCATTTTGACCGCCTCCCACAGCTTCTCGCTCTGTGCGATCGGGATCATGGTGTCGTTGCCTGGAACCAACTTCGTCGGCAAAACAGACGGGTTTGACCGGCGAAAGAGGCCTTACACCGCAAAATATCCCCGGCATCTTTTCAGTGAGCTATGCAACGTGCGCCGTCCCGACAGCTCGGTGGCGAAGAACGCCTCCAGCCCCAAACCGAAGTGGCGAGCCATGCCACGCAATCCCCAGCAAACCATTTGACTGGTGCCACCCAGACTGGCTTCCGTCAACATCTAGTGAAGCACTGGTCAAAATCTCGGATGGCTTGGCCATGATCCACGGTTCCCTTAGTAGAAAATTCTCAAAAATGGCAGTCCAAAGTCCCTATCAACGGGGTGATGGCCAACGATCAGGCCTGAACCCAGCACACCGGTTCAAGCCTTCGGTCATTTGTGGCCACGTTTGCGCTATGTCAATGTCATCGCCATGTTTCTTGGCCATGGCTATTCATGCCGAAATCCCTCGTCCGTGCCAAAAGGGCTCTTGCCCCCAATGTGATAAGGATCCTGAGTTTACCGCGCCACGAGTCCAAAAACGTGTGGATAGCAACGGCCTGCTGAATGAGTACACATCATCCATCGCGGCTGTTGATTGTTTAAATTTGCCTGTCCGCTTCAGCTCCGAAATCTTCGAGCGCAGCGTCTTGCGGCTGTCAGGTGTACCAATACCTCTGTATCACATCGCCAACATGCAGCCGGAGAGAAGCCCCCCAGTGCTCCTTGGGAGACTGAACATGAGCTACTTCAAAGGGTGAGAGGCCAGGGATTTTGGGCGAAGGCACCCTGCGTTTTCACTGCGCTCGGTCAAGGTGTCGTGTGTTGATTTCTGCACCCTCTGGCGCACCCCCCAACAACTCCATTGCCGGTGCTGCGCACATCCTGTATTTCCCGTTGCAGATTGAACCTCCGGAACAGAAATCAAGGAGGAGCCCAAGCCACAAATCTCGAGTTTCAGCACAAAACGCCCAGGGGTCGCAGCATTTCTACAAGGGGAAGACCCACATGTCCCTGTCCGGGCTTCGGGCGCCCATGGATCAGCAGCACCGGACACTTCAAGTCTTTCAGCATCGCCTGGCTGTGTTGCGCCGTTTGGCTTGGACCAAGGGGGAAACCAAGAAGGAGCCGAAGGAACGAAACTGGGTTGCCCTCAGATTCTCCGCTAAAAGTTTAACATTTGGTGGGTTAAATGGAAACTCCCACTAAACATTAAAAAGCTAAAAGGCTAAGGGCATGGCTGGGAGCCACCAAGGGAAGTCGTGATGGAATCTGTGAAAGATGGGGATCCTGGCGCCAAACCAGTGGAAAGCGGGGGCAGTGTTCGAAAAGACCAGTGGCTAAGGGTTGAGGTTGCATTCCTCATAAGCAACGTTTGTCCACTTAGCAGTTCCCAAGGAGGGCAATCTAAACATACCACCAAATATATAGAGCTTTGAATATTCCTTGACAAAATGGTGGCCCGCTTCAGGCCACTGTGAGCCCATCAACATATTCTTGTCTGGAAGGATGTTGGAACACCAGGTCAAGCAATTGGCAACCGCCCGTGCACAGGGCTACATGCATTCGGAAGGCAAAACATCTCTGCCACAAGCACCATGGCAATTATTGCCACCTTTGGGGAGATGCCCTGAGTTGTTGCATGAAGAAACCAAAAGGCACATCGGTCTGCATCCTTCACAAAGTCTCGCTGAAGCCAGTTCGTCCCTTTGGAGTTCAGCATTGGCAAAGGTCGTCCCCAAGGACCAGGGCAAATACAAAATGCCGGGGGCGTCGATTCCCTGCTTGCGCCAATTTGGGTGAGCTTCGTGTGGCTTAGCGTACCATATATGCCTAGGTACGATGAAACTTAGCAGAGGCTGCGACTCCCCAGTGTGAAGAAGGCCTGTTGTTAGAGAACGGGGAAGTCACCGGCGCCATTTTGACTACGCCTCGACAAGTTGTGTCCAGAATTTTAAAAGTGAATTGGGCACGTCGGGTTGCTCTCCTTGGCGTGGAGCAAACTTGCAACATTGAAAGCACACGGCCGGGTGAGGCGCGAATGTTCGGACTCCAGGCGTTTCGAATCGCTCGTCCGCGGCGCAAGCTTGTAGCATTGCGACCGAACCGTGGATTTTGGGAGCGCCAAATCTCTCCCCCCCAGCCCCCAACCCTCGCGCCCAACCTCCTCTCTCCTCCAACGCCCACAACCAATCCTCCCAACCCTACTGATCCATCGGCTCTCTCCAGGAATCCGCCTCGTTGGGCCAAAGCCGACTCACCAAGCGCTTCGCCACGCGGCCGAAGAGGTGGCCAGCCACCTGCTCAGAGGAAGGATCTCGAGGGTCTGAAGAACATCCGAACATGCTCCGCCAAATTGGGGGCGGAAGTTCGACCCTACAGAGGGCAAAGATGTCGGATGGTACCAGACGTGGCCCAAGGGCGCACAAAACCACTGCGGCTACTTTTCTGTGGGGTCGGGATTAGAGCCACCAATTTGACAACCCAATCTCCAGTGGCATTTTCTCACTTGAACTGAGTACAGTTGGCTGTGTTGCTCGGGCAGTTGCTAAGACTTTGTAAACCCAACCTCCAAAGTGCCACTAAAAGTGATTCCAAAGGCGGATGGGACTTAAGACTCGGGATCCTGCGTGTTTCTGTCGGTGCTCTCTGAGTCCCATCCACATCAGTTCGCTTCCTGTGTCCAGGATTGGAGATTCTTTCTGAGGCATTTGCGACCGGGGCTTTGCTGATTTGAAAACCATGAGCCCGCCTAGGGTGGTCAAATCACGTGCAACACACCACCCAATAATGAAGAAACCAGCGAACAAAAAGTACGGTGAGGAGGTGACTCAACACGTAGATTGAAAAAAAAACTGGCTTCACCATCTACACCTGGCAAGTTGCCACCAACCTCTCGCACTGACCTGTCTGTGTCGCCCTCTCCTCCGGGAAGTTGGCGAAGCCGCACTGGAGCACCACGCCCCCCGGCTGCTGCTTCAACTCCTGGCAACGGGTCACATAGAGCTCTCTCAAAATGTTGGTTTTCCCAACATGGGTGGTTTCCGTTTGGTGTCCCTTCAACACAACCACAATGTGATTCCCACACAAAAAAAGCACCCAAAGTGTCTGAACCCCACCTGCTACAGATTAACATTGAACCGAACAAGCCCTCGGTAAGGGGCCCCAACTCAAGGGATTGTAAGGCCTTAACGCTTTTTTGTGTTGGGTTGGGACCGAGCCCCAATCAACCAGGCAAGAGCCCACGCATATTTGAAAGCCACCCGAACAGCAGCAACAATTAGCTTGAGGAAGGAACCGAACGCCAAAGAACAAGCCTTGTCGAGGAAGCGGGACAAAAAAAAAATGGTGCCAGTGTATCCAAAGTACACCTTCTGAGCTGTCACTCAGACTTGGAATGGGCCTAACTTCCCCGGGCATCTTTGAGGTGCCTTTGTCAGCCGGCAAGCGCCACACTGAGGAACCCTGCGATTTTCCTTCTTCTAGGGGACATCCTTCTCAGAAAACCATCAGAACCCCAGGGGAAACAGCTGGTTTTTGAAAAGAACGATGGTTGAAAAGAATGGAATCGGAATCAACCCCTAGAATTCTGACCAGCCCCCAGCTCCCCAGCCCCAACCCCGGAGCCTGGGAGATGCGGTGCACCGCCCGCATGGCCGGGCCGGAGCCGATGGAGCGGCCGTACCAAACCACCTGATCCGACTTGGTCTTCCGCTTGTTCTAGGCAAGCAAGCTGCCCTTTCTAGCGGTTCCTGTTTTCTTTTTCCCCAGGTGTTCATTTCAAGTTCAGGGTTGGTCTGTTCAAAAGAATCCCCTCGCAACTGGTTTTCTCCTCAAAGAGGCCTGAGAGGCAATTTGGGCGCGTGGCCCGTACATTTATCCCATACGGCATTAGAACAACGGCCTTGCATTGTCTGCGCTTCGAGGGCGGATTTTACCCAAAAGCAGGGGTGGGGGTGGGGGGCGCAATGGAAAAACCCCTGGGTGGGGCCTAAAGAATTGGGTTTGCCGGCATGAAACCAAAGTCATACGATTGTTTGGCTCTCAGCCTGATCTATTGGAATGGTCCCTTCATCATCTCACAAGTCTGTTAAGTATCTTCTGTGGGGAGGCTTTCAACAGACCTGAACTCGCGACCAGTAGGATATGTTGCCAGCACGCAACGTGGGGCTCCCTATGACGCATGCAAGATTGGGGAACAGTGGTAGCTGGGCAAATTGTGTTGCTATGGCCATTTCAGGGGACGATCCCCCAAATGCCAACTGCTTGTAGCCCCAATGAATGATGATTGTACCTGGAATGATTTGGATTTGTTCCTTGCACAAGCATGGTTGTCACCTACTTGCCAGTTAGTATACGCCTCGTCATCCCCACCCGAGGTGTATGTAGTGTTCAAGTGGACCTTACAATCAAGAACAAACACAATCTGCTCTTGTTGACCCTTTCGGGTAACAGAGCTGTCAAAGCTCCCTTGCCCGAGCAGAGTTTGTTTGAGGGGCTGAGGTGGGGTGGGCTTGTGGGCGTCTTGTCCAAAACAAACAAGGGCCAAGAAGCCGCATCCATTGTCCTCGAGTTAATTGGCATCATCCAAAACTGGCTGGATTTGCCCTTGAACGGGGCGCACGCATGACCTTTCCAATCAAACATGCAAAGCGAACCCGACTCTTCAGTTGGTCGAAGGGTGCGATTGGGCCTCCTTCAGAGGAAGCAATCCTGAGGGAAACCCTGATTTCAACTGCGCAGGTCGACTCGAGCAAAGCAATGCACGCACTTTCTGCATGCAGAAAATCAAAAGGGGGAAGTCGGAAGTCGGCTCCGTTCCCCCGCCTGCGTGAGGTTGATCTTTAGATCGTTCACGATGTAATTCCTGGCAGGTGCTCCAAGTGGCGAAGGAAGCCAGCAGGACCCAGGAGACCCCCTATAAACGGAGAGCAAGCCAAATTTCGGCGTCAATGCCACACCTCTTTGTTCCATGCACCTACTTTGTGGCCCTCTGCACTGTTTGCCGTGGAACGCGTGTTTCGTCCGTTTCTGTGAAGAAGAACACACTCTGCCGTTGCTCGCAATTTCAACCAGTCCTTCAAGGGAATAGGGATGTGTGGACATCAATGAAGATCTGCTCCCACCAAGCTAGCAGGGTATTCCAGTGTACTATGTCAAGCTGAATACAGGGGACCTCGTTTTGAATGATGAATGTTGGTGCGGTTCAAGAGCTGCCAATCATATCACCTAGCAACAACCATGTTGGACAGCTACAGAATGATAAGATTCACCCACATGCTGAGATCCGGTTTCTGGACATGTCTCGTACAACCCACCGGTGAATGAGAGTGATGCAGTGATGCACGTGTCTCCTATTTGAAACACTGATGCCTGGGGCATCAACTGTACCTTCAGATGATCAAATTGCGCTGCTCTTCGAGAGCGATGCAACGTCTGCCGTGCCCATTCCGCAGGTGGCACGAATGATGGACGTGTCTAAAAGAGCTATAGTCTCTGGCTGGAGTACCAAAGGACCTGCCCAGGATCTCAGGTATGTCAAAGTGTGCGAAACAAGTACAGAAGATCAAAAATGTTGTCCAGTTCACCGACCGAAGCTTTCCGACAGAAGGAAGGCCAAGCCAAAAACAGCTCCGGACGTCCAAAATTCGGCCCCCCGCCCCGTCTCTTGAGAAAAAGTGCTTCTGGGTTTGTCTCCAAATGAGGGATCCCCGGTTTCCGCGGGTTAAAACCTTTGGCTTCCCTCCAAGAACAAATGGAACAAACTCTGATGTTAACCGAAGCACGGACCCACAACCATTCCAGTCCAAATCCAGACGCGAACCCGAGCCCAATGCTGCCGAGGGTCAGCACAGCAGCTGCGGCCTCGTCAATGGACCTGAGAACAGAAGTCTGTTGGACGGGGCATAGATGGGTGCCCCATCGAAAGGCCTCTGACCGGATCTCGGCAGCGGATCGGCAACTTGAGTCGTGTGACTCAACTGCCCAAGGCTCGACAACCTGAAAGCCAGCGTAACAGAATCAAAGACACCCTACGCTGTAGGCGCTTGTTTGCGCCCCGAAAAAGGAACGCATCTCATGTCAGCGTCGGATAGTGCATTAAATTATGTTGTTTTGCAGAGGGATGCCCTGGAAACACAACTTCCCCACACTAGTCGAAGGGTTAGCTGGGAAATGTGGAAGGAATGATCAATCTGAAGTTAACATTGTGAATAAGACAGAAACGCCCTCGCACATGTTCTGTTAGCCAGTCTTTTGGAGGGGCCCCAAACTTCCCAAACGAGTCTGTCAAATGTGCCCAAAGCCGGGCGCAAGTTTCCCCTTCCCCCTGGGCCGCTTGGCCCTCTTCCCTGTCTATACTTGGACCTTTACTTGACGTGGACTTGACTTCACGTTTCGCTTGACCTTTCTTGCTTGACTTCTCCGTTTTGTGCTGATTTCCCTTGACTTGCTTGATTCTGAACTTGGACGTGGAATTATGTTGAATTCACTGGACCTGAACTTCCAATCGCTACGCGTGCTTTAAAAGTTGAGATGTTTGAGCCGCTGCGAAAGGACTCTGCGCGGGCTGTTTTCGTTTTCGTGCTACCGCCAATTGAATTCGAGCCAAAGCTGCGAAAGCTGCTTGGTCCACTAAGCTAATGCCAGTTCGGTAGGTTCTCGCTTCGCTGCACGAAACTAAATTTTATGGTCCAGGACTTGAACATGTGACAAAACATGCTATTTTGCTTCTCCAGAGTTCATAGTGTTCGTGCATAGTTGAGCATGCTGCTACATGTGGTGAGAGTTGTAAAGTTCCGCACCACGGAAGTTCTACTATAAACTTTCTTTGATCGTGGAATCCTGAGAGACTAGGTTTCCCAGCCTCAGCGGTTGAGGTGGGCTCAATGAAGTGAATATCCGTTGGGAGGGTTGAGGGGCAGATTTCATGTTTACCACCATTCTCAAGGTGACGTTGTGAGAGCGTCACTTGATTAGGCCGCTAACAGCTTATGGTGAGTGCGGCCACGTCATCCCCTTGACTCGTACTGATGGGTGTTTTTTCGCAGTTCCTCGTGCAATCAACAAACACAAGCAACTCCATCGACAAACAGAGTGACCCGAGAAGGAAGCGGCCTGGCTTGAAACAACTCAAGGCCCAACATAGCTCAATATTCCAACCGCAGGGCAGCCGCACGCCCTCCGCTGCCACCCGCGTTCTTCCCCCCCCCATTTCACCCCCGAACTGTGTCTTCTAGCCACTCAGCAGCCAACATCCTATCCAGCACAAACTGCCCCAAACCACCAAAAATTACTTCGCTTTGAGCAATCCCCACCTCCACACTCACGAGCTTACGACCGTGAACATAATTCTGTGAATTCAGGCATGGTTTTCGAGCGGCTTGGGGCCTATGACTGCTCAACAAGCTTTGCATTGAGAGCCTTATCCACCTGTCTGTGTGTCAAACTCCACTTGTCCGCGGGCCGATCTCGAGAACTCAAACATCGGTTCCGTTAACAAAAGCCAAGCTCCTTCCAAAAAATAAACCCGAGGGATTAAACGAAGTTGCTATATATATTCACAACCCAAAGCAACGCAAAACCATCACCCTTTCCGAGCCTCAGGGTGCACTCAAAGCACGAAGGCGCCAAACCCAACTGTGCGCCGGGCGGGACATTATGCAAAACCAGACTGGCGAGCTGCTCTGGCGGGATACTGGCGGGATCCACAGCCGCCGGCTTGATGCTGGCCTACTCGGCAGGATCCACCGGCAAGGCATTCTCAGCGGGATACTCGGCGGGATCCACTGGCGAGCTACTCTGGCACACTCAGCGAGATACTCGGCAGGATCCATGGCGGGATGGCGGGATCCACTGGCGAGCAGCTCTGGCGGGATACTGGGCGGGATCCACTGGCCAGCTGCTCTGGCTGGCGGGGATGCGGGATACTGGGCGGGATCCACTGGCGAGCCGGCGGGTGGCCGGATCCACTGGCCAGCCGCTCTGGCGGGATACTCGGCGGGATCCACTGGCGAGCAGCTCTGGCGGGATACTCGGCGGGATCCACTAGCTGCTCTGGCGGGATACTCGGCGGGATCCACTGGCGAGCTGCTCTGGCGGGATACTCGGCGGGATCCACTAGCTCCTCTGGCGGGATACTCGGCGGGATCCACTAGCTGCTCTGGCGGGATACTGGGCGGGATCCACTGGCCAGCTGCTCTGGCTGGCGGGGATGCGGGATACTGGGCGGGATCCACTGGCGAGCCGGCGGGTGGCCGGATCCACTGGCCAGCCGCTCTGGCGGGATACTCGGCGGGATCCACTGGCGAGCAGCTCTGGCGGGATACTCGGCGGGATCCACTGGCCAGCTGCTCTGGCTAGCGGGGGTGCGGGATACTGGGCGGGATCCACTGGCGAGCCGGCGGGTGGCCGGATCCACTGGCCAGCCGCTCTAGCGGGATACTCGGCGGGATCCACTGGCGAGCAGCTCTGGCGGGATACTCGGCGGGATCCACTGGCGAGCTGCTCTGGCGAGATACTGGGTGGGGGTGTGGTGTAGAAGCATCGCAAACGCGGATTCCAACATAAAATCTAACAACCCCTTCCTGTCGGGTGGGGAAAACGGAAGAAAAAAAGGAACAAAAATCACCTAAGTTCGCGTGGCTGTGCCAACATCTCCGGCCGGGGGCCCGGCCGCATGCTCGCGTGGCCCAGGTGCAGCCCGTAGCCGGGAAATTCGAATGACATCACCTGGCCGGATGGCCCCCAGTCCAGCCCCGCAATGGTTGCAAGGCCGACTTCTGCATGAGTGGAAGGAACTGCACACTGCCACCGGTCCAAACCAAAAGAAGGTTGGGGGAATAGCCCAAACCCCCCAAACCAGTGGTTGCTTTGCTGAGTACGACTGGACTTGTCCTACCGCTTGATGCTCGAGTATGAGCACCCTGCTTCCTAGGGCAAACAAATGTACAGCCCTGCAAGGTGCTGGTAGGCTTGGTAGATGTGCCAAACTTCTCATGCAAAACGCTGCAAGGAGGGTTCAAGTAGACCAGCCGATGCCCCTGGCAAAAGCCAGCACGGGTTTGCGCCGACCCGGCATGCGGAGACAGCAGTCTAGCTTGAGTGTTTGGCTCGTGGCAGTTCCACGGCACAGTGCGTAGCTTCTCACTTTGGCTTGGGGGCGCAGTGTCAAGAAGCAATGCACAAACCTCCAATTATCTAGTCCCACCCTCCAATTGCAGTCCCCCTTTGAAGCCAGTGGCAAACTTCCAAAAGCCCAGTTCCAACCCAATCGTGCACCCCTCGCTGACCTCTAAGTGAACAAGGATTTCTTCGCATCTGGCTTGCCCGAAACTCTTTGCCAAGCACGGGCTTCAGGGGGAGCCAGTGTCAGCCTGGCGTCCAAGAACATGCCCAACAGAGTTGGTGCGTGCATCCAAGAGGGCCACAGAGTCCAGTCCACAACCCACAATGTGACGATTTTCGGGAGACATTCTTTTGAAACGGAAAGTTGCAGCCAGAGGCCAGCCCTTCACTTTCACCCATTCCCACATCACTTTGCTTACCCCGTGCGCTTTCCCCCCCCCCCCCCCGCGGTGCGATATTAAAACGGGCCAGACGCGCGTGCACTTTCAGAGATTCAGAAATGCTTTGCAGCGTTTGGCGCATATCGCCGATGTCACAGCCATTGCTGTGGGCATGCACCAAGAGCACCTCAGCTGCATGAGTCTTGCTGATCGGCCTGGGATCTGTTTTGCTACGCTGATATTTCCCTTCTGAAGTCCTTACGCTATGGCCCTCGTCACCCATTTGGAGCGCGACCCTTCGAATCAAGCCCCCAAATAAGGTCACATGCATGATCCCATGAGGAAGGTGCTGGCGTCTGCTTCTCCACTTATGCTGGGATGGCTACAGTACCTGTCCCCGCCGTTCCCTTGCTTCAAAGCAGGCCCCAGCTTTGGCCCTACGCATGACACACACCACAAGAGTCCTGCCAAGGCGCCGGGGCACCCTGGCGAACAGCGTAGAGCATACAAGGTACCTGGCCCACAGTTCGCGCATATGTCCCATTTTTTGGGAACGATTCATAGACCTCCCAAAGGATTCCTGTTTGAGGACGCTGGATCGATATGCCGGGGTTGTCATTGGTCAGGGGTCAACGTCGGCTTTGAAGGTGGCAAGCACAACTGGAGATGAGGGTCTTTGGCTCAAAGAACAGAGGGATCAAAGACAAGGATCACACACAAGGGCTGACGCCCACCATCCAACTCAACTTGCCATGGATGGCGCACAACGGACCAATCCTGATTGGATAATTGAGAGCAGCGCATGTTTGGAAGAAGTGCCGATTTTTGTTGAGTGACAACACTGTGGTCATGCATGGGATTTCGTGTTTCCACCCGGTCCCTGCTAAAAGGAATTGGCATGCCGTTCGCTAACGCATGGGGCGCACCCCTGGATGCGATGTCTGCTTGCCCCTCGGCGGCACGAAGAAGAGCTCGGGGTGAGACTGGCGCAGGCGACAGCTGGAAGGTGCAGCCGGTCAATCCGTAGGTCCGGCCCTGGAAAGTTGGGAACAGAGGTCGTCAAGTGAAGCAGCTGCTCCACTGGTGGTTCCAGCTTCAAAATGTCCTAAGTTTCAGCCTTGCAACCATACTCCCCCGGAACCCAGGCATCTCGCACGCACGCACGCACGCACGCACGCACGCACGCACGCACGCACGCACGCAAACAAACAAACAAACAAACAAACAAACAAACAAACAAACAAACAGACAAACAAACAAACAAACAAACAAACAAACAAACAAACAAACACACTATGCTGCAGGCCAGCACTTCCAGAGCACAATTCAGAAATTTTAGACAGAAATTTGACATGCACAGCTTGTTGGGCGTTTGGGCACATCCAACAAACGTCAAGCCCTGGGCTGAAACAAAGCCCTGTTGCTCCCTTCCGTCCGGGTGTGTGGACCTGTGGGCTTTGCTTCAGGCATGTTGGACAGGCTCTCGGCTCTTGCACCGGCTTCTTTCCCTGCTGCCCATGTGGGCAGCCCAGAGTTTGTTGCGCCCGTGCGTTCGAAGAACTCTGAACACCTGAAGCCTTGTGGGAGCGACTTGATGGAGAAGGGAGCCCAGCTGAAAGCAGTCCTCGTTGAGTTTAGCACATGCAACCTGCATGCCCTCGCTGCCACTGACATGGAATCTGATCAAGGGTTCCTGAATATGACAACGACGGCAGACAAGGAGTTGCCTTCAGGTTGCACATGGCTGTGAGATGACCCTCTGCCAAAAGGCACCCCAAACCCAAGCCGCGCCTTCCAATGAATCTTCAAGCGGATTTGGCTGAATTCTCAATAGGACTTCCCAGCAAAATGCTGCTTCTTCTCTCGCTTGAAAACCAACCAAGGAGGTTCCACACATTCACGCTCTCGATCCCTGACTCCCACCCCACCAGGATGTGCTGTCTTTTTTTCTCGCCTGAGCGCACCCGGAACCCGAGCTAAGAGATAACCGTCCAACCAGCGCACGCCTGTTTCCTGGCCATTCCCAAGGAGCAGCTTCCAAAACAGAATTCCAAAGGCTTGAAAGTGAAATGATGTTCCGCAGTGTGTAAAAATGTAAAGGAGGTGACTCAAGCCCGCTGGGCCTGACAAAACACGTGCACTCGTCAAGTACTGACTTTGCATATCACGGGGCACCCATCGGCTCGATGTTTGCAACAGAAGTATTGCATGTGTAATTCATCAACCTCCGCCACTTAAGGGGGGGCCCACCCCAAAAAAGTGAAAGGGCTCCAGGAAAGGAGCAGCCCAGCGGACCCAACGCCTACTTTTTGGTGTGAGAAGAGAAATCGGGCCCCGCGCTAGATCAACTCGTTAGGGACCTAGGGCTGGATTTCAGGATCCTGGGTAGATACTCATCGTACCATGGGCAACTCCTTGGAAGCTTCAGTTGACAGCCTGATTCGCCCTCAGCTTCGCTGAGGGGTGAACCAACGCGCCCTGCTTCGAACGAGGCCGTGAGTTCCCGAGGAGTGTTCCAATATCTTCGTATTGCTCTTTGTGAATGTTTCTTCTCTCTCTCTGTTTTTGGGCATGCTTTCACACAGGGATCCACGGCCTGCCAAATAGATTTCGAAGGAGGCCTCATCACCCAATCCTGGGTTTCGAGCCTTTCCACAGCGCAACTCCCATCAAGAGCCCGAACCTTTCCCTGACACTGCTGGGCAGGACGTGCCCAAAATGCCTGCGATTTTACAAATTACAAATCGCTGTACAAATCTGCGGTCGGAGCCGGGCAACGGACTAGCTTTTAAAACAGAAAGGCCAAATGAACATCCCCTGCTGGAAAGATCTGAATGGCTCTGCAGCAGCAAAACTGCAAGAACATTCGACATAGGTCCTGCTAGTACGGTTTCTTCACAGACTACGACATTTCACATGGGCTCTTAAAATACTGCCAGCTGGGCCGCGGCATCGAACCCATGGTTGTGTGGCTTTCCCTGCGAAACAAGCCTAGAAAGTAGGTGCCCTCAAAAGAACACTTCTAACATCAGGGCATAAACAGGCTGTGGCACAAAAAAATAGGTGCACAAAATGGAACCCTGGTAAATGGAACGAAGGACTAAAACCTGCGGTCCCCTGCTGGTTTAATTTCAACCCATACCCAAATGTTCTCCCTTCGGAACTGGTGTCACTTCCATTGTCCCGTGCCAGAAGCCTTCGGCTCCGCCGGACAGCACGCCTGTCTCACAACTCAAGCAGCATCAGATCGGCTCCGGGGGCTCTCGCCAGATTCGCTTTCTCGAGAAGCGGAAGCTTCGAACGGACACGCCGTTTTGCAAGGGAACACCCTTGTGGGTGTGTCTCAAAACCAGGAGAGTCCCGTAACATGGGTCCCCCAAAAAGTTGAGTACCCTCCAAAAAAGATCGAAAAGAACGCTTGTGATTCCGGAACCTCTTGGCCAGGCTACAACCCGTCTGTGAGAGCCCCCGCAAAGAAACCAGAGGTCCCAACGACACAGCGGCGAGACCTTCAGCGCACAAAATTTGGAACGCACCAAGTCGTCCAGGGCGACTCTCTCAAAAAAGGTGGCAACCGATTTGCAAAGTGCAGGGAGAGAATCCACACAATTCATGGTGTCTGTCCTTGCAATATTTCACAAATAAGCACAGTCATGAAGCATGGGTGGCACATGTCCAGGCATATATGCTCCAGATGTGCAGCCATTTGTCAGAATGAACATCGCGGATGCTGAGCTGCCAAGGTGTTGCTCACGTCCTGAACATGTCACGATGTTTTGATTCGAGCAAGTCGACTGCCACCATTCCGTGGAGGATGCCTGCATTGAGAGCGATCCCCAGTCGTGATTGGCCGCAAGAGCTACAATGGAAATCTGACAAACAGATTGCAGCGTAGGAAACACTGGCATTGCTACAAATGACCTGAATTTGAGGACGATTCACTTGCAGTACGTAGGGAATCCACAAGATGCCAACAGAATGCTAGACTTGCAGCCAAGGTTATTCAACGACAAGCTTAGAAATCTCGGCCTTGCCAATGCACCTCCAGTGCACGAGTAGCAAACAGGCGCCGTGACTCTCACTCAGGATGAACTGACTGCCTGCCGACTGCTTGAACCATCACGGGGCGTATTTGTTTCAGGCTGCCCTTTTGGGGGCTGGCAAAAGAACACCAAAGGAGACCCCCGTTGTAAGAGCCCCATATGTTGACACAGCCAACTCCCAAAACAGCGCTTCCCTTTTCGTGTCGCTCGTTGGACCTGGCCAGCATGTCCGGGATAGCCACTAGAATTGCATAGCAAAGACACTCGGGTCTACAACCTGGCATGTTGCACTTTATTGTTGGGGTCCAAACATGAGAGTTTACATACCACCCCTTTGCCTTTATAAACCGCTCCGTTTCCTTTTAGGACTTCCTCAAGTTGACTTCTAGAAAGCACTGATTGCCTGTTGCGAACGCCTACAAACAAGCAATGGACATCAAATGCAACACACTCCGGTCCGGTTGGATCTGCATGCACAACGCACCAACCAGAGAAGTAGGCTCACAATGGCTCCAAACACGCGGCATACATGACAAATCAGACACTTCGGCAGCAAAGAAAGCGGTATGCTAAGGGACCCACAAGAAAGAAATCCCCCCTACACCAACCCTGAACCGCAATACGTCCCATCCCGAGACAGGCTGGATCAAATGTTGAAACATTGGCCCCCTCGCAAGGGATGTCTGCTTGTTCTCCAAGCAGTTTACTGTAGAAGGGTTTCTTGGCCCTTGCAGCTTTGTCTCCTTTGTCTCCCCTCGTGTCCCTTACGCGCTGGCCGACCGAGGTCGGACAGGTTCCTGCCGCTCTTCCTAAGAGCTGCAAGCCGGACTAGTTCCTGCCGCTCTGCCCTTGTCTCCCGTCATATGCGCTGCAAGTGATCAAGGTCGGACGGGTTCCTGCCACTCCATCTCCCCTTGCCTCCCCTTGTTTCTTCGCGCGCTCTGCAGGCCGGTCGAGCAGGTTTGCGCGGCTCTGTCTACCCCTGTCTTCCATGGTCTCCTGTCATACGTGTCGGCGGACGATTTCCTGCCACTCTGTCCGTCCTCGTCTCCCTTTGTCTCCTTTCGTGCTTACTGCAGGCCGGTCGAGTCGGATGGGTTCCTGCTGGTGTCACTCTGATCAGCCTCGACTGGCCTGCGGCACTCATGCAAGGAGAGAAGTGGAGACACGGCAGGGCGGCAGGACCTGTCCGACTGGCCTGCAGCACATATGAAAGGAGATGCAATCCGAGCTCGGCCGGCCTGCAGTGCGTGTACACATGAAGGGAGACAAGGGGGCATTCGACCGGCTTGGCAGCGCGTACGAAGGGAAACAAGGGGAGACAAGGAGAGACAGAGCGGCAGGAACCCATCCGACCTCGACCAGCCAGCACATATGCAGCGAGATTCGTCAAAGAGGGGAGTGCGCTCTCTCCCCCCTCCCACTCCCCGCTGCAGGTCGAGGCTGTCAACGAGGCTAGGGCTGCGATTTGGTTCAGCGCCCTCCTTGAGGTCTCGAGGTGGCCGGACTTGAGGTTCGGACCTGCTGGCCGCTTTGAAGGCGCGGTTCGATGTGGTTCGATGCGGTCGTGCTTGCTGGTCCTGGGTCAACCGCCTGGGCGCCTGAGGTGCTTGCTGGCAACCTCCGGGCCCGCGTGCTTGTTGGTCAGGTAGACAGCACGGAAATTGTGTCACCCATCATTCATTGTTTCCAGGGCAATTTCTGGAAGAAGGCAGGGCAAATGGCAAATGGATCTCATCTCCAATGACGTGTCCGGTCTTCGTGACTCCTATCAAGGATCACCCGGTACTTCATGCAAGTGTCATCTTGCACAGTCCCGGCCCTGCCTACCCTTGGGCAGCCATTCCGACTGCCGCCAGAAGCAGCAAGGCAAGGCCGCTTGCACCGGGTGCCCTGCTGATCTCCTTTGCCTCGCCTCAGGTGCTGATGGTTGTGGTCATTGGATCAGTCAGTGGGCCACCTCTTCCTGGCAAGGAATTGGAGAACCAGCCAAACAAGGGTCACAGCCAATGATCCATTTTGTTGGCTTGGTTTTGGCCACCGGACCACCAGCAACCCCCCCAAGCCAACCCATGATCAGCCACGGCCCTAATGCAAATATCACCCTGAATCAACTGCAAGCTACTACCGCCCTAGACTCAGCCTGAATCCGCCACAAACTAACACCAAACCCAACCTCAAACTAACAGTTTAAGACCAACCCCAACCCTTACAATGCGCCTATCCACGCCATTACCCCATACAAACCACTGTGGATCAACCCTCCAACCCTGAACCCTCCCTCGATCAACCCTCTACTAATACCACACCCAACGGTGAACCCACCTCCTGAACCCGACTACCCTGAACTAAACCGGACTGACTTGTGTTCCATGCCGTCCAAAACACAACACATCTTTTGGCCAAGTGACACGTGTCCGCGTAGGTGGTGGAGCCAACGGGCAGGGACATGCTCATAGCATCCTTCCCGATATGGCAAACCACTGGCAGCTGCTAACATTCACAAGGTCTGCGCTGGCGGTATTCGCGCGGTGGAAAGTCCACAGCTTTGGCCGAGTCACCAGCCATTTCCGTCCATGCCGTCAGAAAAGGCTTGACTGCAACCCTGAAAAGTCCGACCAGCTTGCAAAACGCCAGAGACGGAAGAGCATGGATACACACAAAAGCCCTTCACGCGCGCTGCCGGCGAAACGTGCTTCGTCCTGGCACACGGAGTCCAGGCAGCCGCCAGCAGGCGCATCCTTCCACTTGCCCACCATGGCCTCAGATAGAAAGCCGCCGGCCAAAACCCACAAGCACCGTGGACTAAACGCCGATGCCAACTTCACATGCGGAGGGACCGGAGGGGGCAAAGTCATGGTTCTTAGCGTACTTATCAAGGGTCACATCAAAGGGCACATCGATCAAAGCACTTATGGCGGTTGTCCGTGGATTCTGACCAATGTGTATCAACAATATTTTGGCACCATAATCTTGCCCAGGTACGGTGCGCGCGTGAGTGCGCGAGTAAGCGCAGGTGTTGCGATCGAATGTGCGCGCGTTTGCGTAAGCGTGTCGACGCGCGTGGGCGTGTGCATATACGTGTACTTTCGCATGCGCATGAGCGAGTAAGTGTGCAGCATTTGCATGAACATGCTTGCGCGTGTATGTGTATAAACTCTGTGCGTGAAAAGTGTGTGTGTGTGTACGGGAGTGTGTGCATGTATGTGTGTGTGTGGGTGTGCATGTGCGTGTGCATGTGCGTGTGCATGTGCATGTGCGTGGCGGTTGTGTGCATGTGTGTGAAGTGAGTGTGTGTGTGTGTGGGTTTGCTTGTTTGTGTCTGGAGTGTGTGTGTGTGTGTAAAAGATAAGTGTCTGTGTGTGTAAAGCGTGTGTTTGTGTGTGTGTAGAGTGTGCGTGTGTGTGTGTGTGTGTGTGTGAAGTGAGTGTGTCTGTGAGTGTGTCTTTGTGTGTGTTTGTGAAGCGCGTATGTGTGTGTGTATGTGTGTCTGTGTGTGTCTGTGTCTGTGTGTGTTGTGATGTGTGAAGTGTCTGAGGAAGAGAGAGAGAGAGAGAGAGAGAGAGAGAGAGAGAGAGAGAGAGAAGCGTGTGTGTGTGAAGTGTGTGTGTGTGTGCATTTGCGTGAAGTGAGTGCGCGTGTGTATGTGTGAAGTTTGTGTGTATGTGTGAAACCTGCATGCTTTCGTGTGTGTGTGTGTGAAGTCTCCGGTGTGTGTGTGTGTGTGAAGTGTGTGTGTGTGTGTGTGTCCGTGTGTGCGAAGTGTGAGTGGGCGTTTGTTTTGTGTGTGTATATAGAGTATGCGTGTGTGTGTGTGTCTGTGTGCGAGTGTGTGTCTGTGTGCGAGCGTGTGTGTGTGTGTGAAGTGACTGTGTGTGTGTGTGCGAACTGGCGTGTGTGTGTGTGTGCGAAGTATGTGTGTGTGTAAAGTGTATTCCAACTCTGTGTGTGTGTGTGAAGTGTGTGTGTGAAGTGTGTGTGTGTGTGTCTGAAGTGTGTGTGTGTGTGAAGTGTGCGTGTGTGTGTGAAGTGAATGTGTGTGTGTGAAGTGAATGTGTGTGAGGTGCGTGTGTGTGTGTGTGAAGTATGTGGGTGTCTAGGATGTGTGCGTGTGTATTGTTGCATGCACATGTGCAAATGCATGCGCATGTGACGCGCACGTGCCGCGTGCGCCTGCCACGCGCTCGGGTCACGTGCCTTGCGTGCGTGTAGGCGCGTGTACGTGTCTGTCGGTGACCTACACGTGTGCATGTGCACTTGGTGTTCGTGCGTGCGCGTGCTTGCGCACGTCTTTTGTCATGTGTTTGCTTGTTTGTCTTCATAGTTGCTATTGCTTGCTTGCTTGCTTGCTTGCTTGCTCGCTTGCTTGCTTGCTTGCTTGCTTGCTTGCTTGCCTGCCTGCCTGCCTGCCTGCCTGGCTGTCTGTCTGTCTGTCTGTCTGTCTGTCTGTCTGTCTGTCTGTCTGCTCGTCTGTTTGTTTGTTTGCTTGTCTGTCTGTTTGTTTGCTTCTTTCTTTGTTTCTTTGTTTGCTGGCTTCTCTGGAAAACTGGACCGCGTGCGGGGATACGCTCATGACAAGAGTTGGACCTCCCAGCAAGCCAAAGTCAAACGAAGCCAAGGGCCAAGACTGAATCAGGGCGTGTGATTCAAGAACATTTGCGGCGCAGCCATCTTGCCACTACCCGTCCCAAACATATACCTCAAGCACAGGAACACCCCACACACCAGCATTTGCGCAGCATCAAAGGGCAAAACAATGTCTGTGCTAAGCACATCGCAGTGCGCGATTGCATTGAGACTTGTGCTGCTCACCTACAAGTGGTTCTACGTAGGTCATGACTGTTTCCCACATGGAACCTCACGTCCGCTATTGCCCAGGATGGCTTGCAGGGGGCCACTTGCGAGACTGAGACATCACTCGAAGCATGACCTCACCATCTAAGTGGCGCAGGTGATTCCCAGGTCTGCATACACGGACTCCACCAGCGTCTTCACCTTGCAGGCGGCATCCGCCGTGAAATTCGTCTGCGACAAGTCGAAGATGGCATCCACCTGCTGGCCCAAAACTCACTCGCTTGGTCCGGAATAGGATGGACGGCTTTTTATTGTGTCTGAACAAATGTGCGGCTACTGGCACGTCCCAAACCAGACACATCCTCCGGTGTCCAACTCGCACCAAGCAGCACACCTGTACTGTTTTGAATACAAGAGATTGTTTTTCAACCATCTGCCAAGCTTGCCGTTGGCGCCTCGGATGTGGCCAGCTGCAAAAGAAAGCAGGGTGCTTGTGGCCAGTGCCAAGTGTTCCCATGCCACGCAGCGCGCCTGTTCCACAGCAGTTTGGTTCACCGTGGAGATGTACCTTTGAGCAAAGAAGTCAAACAGCTCTCGCAAACTTGCAGCCTTCGTGGTATCAAGCCTGATGAGCCTGATGGATTCACCTCATCCATCAGGGCTGCTCACACGAAGAATTGAAATCAGCAGCATATCAAGTCGCAGACCTTCGAAAGTCTGCACATCCCCAGTGGCCTTTACAAGGATTGTGCCTCAGTGGGCTGCCTGTTCTTCCGATGATTCTTCCCCGGATGTGTTTTGTTTATGACGCATGACGCCACAAGCTCGCCACCTCGCACCAGTGTGAATACCTGTAACTCTGCCAAACATTCAGGAACAGGCTGCAGATTTTGTGCGGAGCACATCTCCAAGGAGACCACAAGTGGCATGGCTTTTGTCATATAGCGCCCCCTGAGAATTGGCCCAGTCCTTCATGGCACAGTCTTCTGGATGGGTGTCCACCAACTTCTAAGTTGGGAGCCTCATCTTTGCCTAGTGCAAAACCTTCCGCTGTGCCAAGAAGCCCTGAGGCAGAGCGCCAATACGCCCAGCCCTCAGCGAGATACTTCTCCTGGCGCACACCGAGAAGTGCTGCAATTCAACCCCTGCACGTGCGTGCGTGCACGTGTGTGCGTGTGAAGGTGTGTGCGTGTGTCTATGCACGTGTTTGTTGTTTGTTTGTTTGTTTGTTTGTTTGTTTGCTTGCTTGCTTGCTTGCTTGCTTGCTTGCTTGCTTGCTTGCTTGCTTGCTTGCTTGCTTGCTTTGCTTGCTTGCTGGCTGGCTTGCTTGCTTGCTTGCTTGCTTGCTTACTTGCTTGCTTGCTTGCTTGCTTGCTTGCGTGCGTG